GCGGGAGCGGCGGCCATGGCGGCGCTGCTGGCGCGGGGCTTGGTGCGGGGCACGCTGCGAGTGGGGCAGGTGGGCTCGGGGGTGGAGGGACACACCGGGGTGGGAGAGACATACCGGGGTGGGCTGGGGGGACAGGGGCACTGGGCGGGCCCCCGCACAGGGCCGCGCTCGCCGCTGCTCCCGCCCTCGGGCAAGGTCCGCGGCGGGCGTGAGCGCCGACCCACGCACCCCCACGGCAGGGAACGGAGCCTCGGATCACCCGTTGGCACTCACCCCGGCCTGCATCCCTGTGGGCACAACCCCCGACACCCCGTGTGTACAGCTCCCCGTCGTCCCCATGAGCAGCCTCCCCCAGCACCCCCATAGGCGTTACCCCCGTGCGCAGCCCCGAGGACCCCTATATGTATCCCATCGATCCCCACGTGCACCCCCCACCACACCCCCCATGCTTTAGTCCAATCACCCCCAAGTGCATTCCCCCATCACGCACCCCACCACCCCCACATGCGTCCTCCCCATATCCCGGTGCGCACTCCCTGTCACCCCCATGCACATCCCCCCACGTGTTCCCCTTTCACTCCCAGCCGTGTACCCCATCAGCCCATGTGCGTCCCTCCCTCCATCACTCTTGCACGCATTTCCCCTCCCCGTGCTCCTGCCCGCCCTGGCCGCGGTGTCCCCGTCCCCGAGGGGACAGGCCCTAAGCCCTGTGTGGACTCCCGGCCCAGCGGTGCATGTCAGCGCCCAGCGGGAGGGATGGGGAGGTGAGCAAGGCACAGCGGGCAGCGGCAGCCGGCGAGGAGGCGGGTGGGCAGCCCACCATCTTCAGCAAGATCATCGACCGCACCATCCCTGCCACCATCCTCTATGAAGATGACAAGGTAGTGGGGACAGCAGGGCGTGTATCCCCACTGGGGGAGGGGGGGCAGCACGGCAGCACCCACGGGTGTGGGGCTCACCCTGCTCCCCCTGGCAGTGCCTGGTCTTCCGTGATGTGGCCCCCCAAGCCCCCATCCACTTCCTGGTGATCCCCAAGCGCCCCATCCCCCGGATCAGCCGTGTGGGTCCCCAGGACACTGAGGTGAGTCCAGGGGGGTCCCTGGGACATTGGCAGTAGGGGCCACAGAGTGCTGACCCTCCTGCTCCGCTCTCCTGCAGCTCCTGGGGCACTTGCTGGTGGTGGCGGCACGCACGGCGCAGGCAGAGGGGCTGGCTGACGGCTACCGCCTCGGTGAGTTGGTGTTCCCTGCTGTGCCATGGGGCAGGACCCTCACTGGTGGGCTTAGGGGCCTGGGTGTGCAAGGGGTGGCCTGACCCCTGTCCCTCTCCTGACAGTGATCAACGATGGGAAGCACGGTGCCCAGTCTGTCTACCACCTGCACCTCCATGTCCTGGGTGGGCGTCAGATGGGCTGGCCCCCTGGCTGACCCCCCACTGCCCACCACCCCCCAATAAAGCATCTCCTTGGTGGTGGCTTCAGTGGTTCCATGTCCGGGTGGCTTTCTTAGGGGTGGGGGTGGCTGGCCTAGGCAGGACTGGCCTCCAGTGTCACAGCAGTGGGGAATTGCTACCCTGCTTTGAAGTAGAGGTAGCCAACCTGCCCATGCTGGAGATGCTCTGGAGCCCCATGGTTGAAGCAAAAGGTATTTGGGGGAGTGCCCACATGGCAGTGAGAAAAGGCCCATCCTGTTGCTGGGCTGGGGGGAGCAGGCTGTGTGCCACAAGGGTTTCTCCAACCTGGGCAACATCCCGGGAGTGTCAGCATCACACCATGCCCAGGGCTGCCCGCCCAGCCCACTGCCACCACACAGCCCCAGCACCCCTGAGTGCCCTTACCTTGCCTCAGTGTGCTCCCCAAGCACCACTCTGTTCCCACCAGAGCACCACACTGGGCACTGATGCTCCTCTGCTCTGCAAAAGCAGCTAATTGCACTTAATTGATCTAAAAGCAATGACTGCACATGTACTCCTCCCTACGCCAGAGGGAGCTGACTGTGAGCTCCCGGGGGGGTCATAACCCTGAGCAGTGTGGAACAGGCTGAGTGGCGGGTGGGCCTGCTGCCTCCTCCATATATACATGCCCTTGTACCCCTGCTGCACCACCCGTGTGTGCACTGCAGTGCAAAACTCACTGCACTGAACACCCCAGGCTGCCCTACATGCAAAACACCACCAGCACGGTACACGCACTCATGTTTACACCCCTTGGCCACAGGCTTGTGCCTGCACGTGTCTGCATCCCCCTGGCGAGGGGAGCGCACGCGGGGGCTCCGCACATGCGGCCGCCTGCTCCCTGCCGCGTGCCTCCCGCTCCCGCTGCTCCGTGGCCGGGCGCCGGGGCTATATTTAGTGGCGGGGGCCGGTGCTGGCGCGGTGCATGGCCCACCTGGCACCGCCGCCGGGGCTGGCTGGGCCCCTGCCAGCCGCTGCGCAGGGGACCGCAGCCCGCCAGGGAGAATGGCAGCTCTGTTCATCCCCCGGCTCGGTGGCGCTGGCGGCGGGGGCCCCCCGGGAGCTGCGTGGGGCAGTGGCAGACCCTAGTTCGCTTCCCACACATACACGCCCAGAATAGCATAGGGAATGTTTTTGGGGTGTAAATGAGCCTTAAAAATGTTTATGGCTAATGCTTCCTGCCTCCGAGGCTCAGCAGAGGATGGGGTCACACTCTTGGACACAGGACAATCCTGCCTCAGGGATGGGTACCCCAAATCGGGGCTGGGTATCGCTGGGGAGGTGGGGACTCCAAAGAGGGGCCAGGGATCCCCCGAACATCATCCCTCAGGGCTCACCTGGAGCAGCCCCCCCGGGAATGCTGTGCTGGGCTGAGGGTGTGTGCTGGCACGCGAGGTCAGGGGCTGGATGCCTGCCATTGCGTTTCTTCCTGTGCCAGGTTTATTTTGTCAGTCCCCGAGCAGCCGCGGGGCAGGACAGTGGTCACAGCCCCAAGGGGCTGAGGGGGGGAGGACGAGGGCCAACGGCTGTTTTGGTTCTTCAGCTGAGGAGGATCACAAATGACGCAAGTTCCCAAAAGAGCTGGGCAGGGGGGCTGTGGGGGATGTGTCAGCCGGCAAGAGCCAGCCAGATGTGCTCCAGCAGCTCCAGGGCTGCTGCCCCACAGTGATGCTATCAGGGCACAGCCCCACAGAGATGCCCCATCGGCCACCCCGGGGTTTGTTTTGGCCTACAGTGAGTGCACCCCCTGGGCTGGCATAGCTAGGGTTCCTGTCCTACACAGTACTGTGGTGCTGTTAGTGTCTTGTCCGTGTCCCCCAGGCACCAACGCTGCCTGGCAATCTTGCTTTTGGCAAGCCCACGTGTGTCTGGTGGGGAATCCGGGGACGCTCCTGGGTGCACCCAGGGTGCAAGCTGGGGCAGGGTGCCCAAGCTGCCATCCCTTCAGCACGAGCTGGGGTAGGAGTGACTGCAGGGGCCACTGCTGGGCCCGCAGCTGAGTGTGGGAGCAGCACCAGCAGTATTCACCCCAGCACCCTCAGAGCGAGGCCCCAGCCCTCGAGGGCACCCTGGCACTCCCTTCCAGCGGCAGCAGGGCCGATGTGGCCCCAGGAAGGGGGAGCCACAAGATGTGCTCGGGCCACGGCTCCTGCCTCTCCTTGCTCGCTGCAGCTGCACGACAGATGGGCTCGGAGGAGCCCCTGCCTGGCGCGGGGCCGAGCGCCCGCAGGGAGGAGCCGCTCCCCAGTGGGGGGCCCCCCCCCAGGGCCGGCCGAGGCCAGAGGGGCCAGGCACATTCCCAGCCAGGAAAAACAGAGGCCCGAGCGCCGAGCCCGCGGTGCCCCGCCGGCGCACACCGCAGAGCGCTGCAATAACAGCCCTCGCCGCCCGCTATCAAAGGGCCCTTCTTCTGCTCCGTCCCCGCAGGGATGGGGCCGGGGGCCCAGCGAGGGCCGGCGGCGAGGGGAGGCAGCTGCTCCACGCCGGTTGCACCCAGCCAGGCGCCGGGCATGTCCGGCCCCGTCACCCTGGGCCGGCCGGGGGTCCCTGGGGCGGGCGGGCGTGTGGGGTAGGGTGGGGGTCGCGCCATGGGGAGCAGCATGTCCCCAAGAACCCTGGGCACGACTCTCCTGCCGCCACAGCGGGGCTGAGCTGGTCCTGCCCAGGCACAGCGCTCCCCTGTCCAGGGCAGCGGGACAGGCTAGCACGGGAGGCATGGACCCCAGGGATGGGGAGAGACTCAGCCCCGCAGCGCAGCTGCACGGCCGTGTTCCTGCGCCCCCACTCCCCTGCACCCCTGTGCCCCACACACACTCCACGCCCCCAGCACCCCCTTATCCCTGCATCCTGGCACCCCGATGCCCCCTGCAGCCCCGTCCACCTCCACCGCCGCACGGCATCTCCCTCACCCTAACTCCCTGCGCCCCGGGACGCCACACCGCCGGCTCTCAGCACCAGTGCGCCCCACCCCTCCTCGTCCCCATCCATCCCTCCTCGCCCCCATCCCATCCCTCCTCGCCCCCATCCCATCCCTCCTGACCCCCATCCCATCCCTTCTCGCCCCCATCCCATCCCCTGCTCTCCCCGCTCCCCATCCCCCGCACCCCACCCCGACCACGCCCATTTCCAGATGACCACGCCCCCTCGCCCGACCCCGCCTCTTGGCCCCACCCACAGCGGGCTCTGGCCACGCCCCCCTCCGTGCTCTCCGCCAATGAGAGCGGCGCACGCGGCCGCCGCGCGCCGTCTCCATGGAGAAGCGCGCATTCCATCCGGCCGCGCACGCGCCATGGAGCCGGGAGCCGGCACCCCCCGGGGGTGCGGCCGGGAGCGGGGGGCACTGAGACCCCTCAGGGTGACCCCCGGGGGGAGAGCCGGGGGCGCGGCCTGCGGGGCGTTAGGGGGGAGCAGGGGGGGATAAGGAGATGGGGGGTACGGCCCAGGCAGGGGGTGCAGCGCCCCGGGAGGAGGGTGGTGGATATGGGGGGCAGAGCCCCGGGCTGGAGGCAGGGGGAAGGATGTTGCTGCAGGAGGTCAAGCGGGCAGAAGGGAGCTGTGGAGGGGGAGATCCCCCCGGAGCGCAGACTCAAGAGCAGGCTCTGCTTCCGTCCCCAAACGGAGGGAAGTCCCTCCTTGTCCCTTGCCCCAGTGTGGGGGTGACGCTGCAGGGGACCCCGGGTCTCTCGCCTCAGGGCCCTGCCCGTGCTGGTGGGGGCTGGGGATGTGGTGGGCAATGGGGGGCTGAAGGATGTGCCCCGTTGCCTTTCCTCAGGGTCTGTTCCCATCTCCAGGGTAGCTCTGACGGGCCATGTGGGTCCCACATGCCCTGGGGAGAGGTCACCGTGCCTGGGCAGCGTCCAGGGTGATATCTGCCATGTGCCCATGGAGAAGCTCCCATGCCACGAGGAGCCACTGACAGCCACGGCCAAGAGGCTCCAGGAGATGTCAGACATAGCCGACGTGCTGGAGATGCCCCCTGAGCTGCCCGCCGAGGCTCTGCCACCTGTGCCCAGCCCCAAGCCAGCCCGAGAGATTGTGAACGAACCCGCTGAGATCAAGCTGCCTCCCTGGCTTGGAAACTGGGGGCCTTCCCGCGAGAAGGTGCCAGTGGAGCCCCCCTCTCCACCGAAGCCGGCAGAGCAGCCCAGCCAGCCCCGACGGGGCCGCCCGATCCGCACCTGGCTGGGGGAGGTAACTCCATCAGGGAAAATGGGCCTCAAAACCGGCCCCACTGTATCCCACATGCTGATTCTGTGAAGCTCCCCGCTCCTGGGTAGACCCCTCTCTTTAAATAGCCACGCTTGGCTGAGCCAGGACTTCCCAGACGACCTTGAGCCCGGTGGGTAGAAAGGGGATGAAATTCAATAGCACAAAATGCACGGGCAGGCACGTGGGGAGTGACAGTGAGGCTTTGGGAGGAAAGCTGGAATCTTGCTGCTGGCAGGCAGGATCTCCATGCAACAGCCCATCATAGGGATGTGGGACAAGCAAGGCTTGGGGGGCACCTAATGGGTCAAACAGCCTGGGGACCCCATGGTTTGTTCAAGTGTCCTAAGAGAGCTTGCCCAGGATAGGGGCAGTCCAGGCACCCCTTGGCTTGGGGCAGCCATACACGGTCAGCAGATGTCCACCAGGCAGGAGAGGTCAGCCCTGCCCAAGCTGCAGGTGTCCCTGCTCCAGCATTCCCAGGGAGCTGGCTGGAAGGACTGTGACCCCCCCTTTTTGCAGCTCGTGCCTCTGGGGCTATCAAAAGCCTAAAAGCCAGGAGCACTGGAGGTTGGGCTCCCACCCCCTTCCACAGCCCCTACTGTCCATCTTCAGAAAGTCGTGGACCCCCTGAATTCTGGGCTGGGGCAGGAGCTAAGCGGCGAGGACTCCGCCCACCAGCGTGGCTTCCACGGACTGCCACTCCATCAGTTCCTGTCCTCGCTCACCGACAGCCCCACCACGGACACCCACCGCCCACCCCGCAGGGCCCTGCTGCTGGCGCAAGGTGAGGCTGAGCCCCCTTGAGCCGTGTGCTCCCCGGAAAGGCAGTGGGGGAATCTCAGCTAGGGGGATCTGATGGCACCTTCCCCTCTGCAGGGCTGCGGAAGGCCACGCTGGCGTCCATGCTCTACGAGAAATACAGGCAAGCCTGCACCCCTGCGTGACACCCATCCCTGGGGCTGTGCCCCGGCAGAGGGGACCCGGGGTGGGGGGTACCCCAGGGCTGAGGGGTGTGGCGTTTGCTCTGACTGCAGTAATGAGACGGAGGAGGAGATCCGTCCCCGCCCACAGCCCATGGAGTCTGTCTCCACCACGCACCGGGACTACGCTGCCAGGGGCTTCCAGCCCACACCTCCAGCCGTCACCCAGGTACAGGCAGGAGACAGGCCCCCCCTACCTCCCAGCTTGTGGCAGCTCCCAGGGAGGCTGCAAGGCTCCTCTGTCCCCCCCGAGTGTGGTGTCCCCCCACTCACTGTCACTTTGCTTCCACCTGCAGCCCCACAACTACTTGACGGAGCAGCCAACGAGCTTTTGGCTGGAGCAAGCCCGTGGACTACCAGTAAGACCCCCAGCACCCACTCCCTGCCAGCACCTCAAGGGTCTTGGCTGCTGACAGAGATCTCTCTCTTCTCTCCCCTCCAGGGTGTCACTGCCCTCTTCAGCAGAAACATTCCCTTCAAGAGGAACGCAACCTTCTCCACTCCCATCACTGTGTACCTAGGGCCACCTCACCCCTGCGACCCCCTGAGCAGCGAGCCTCAGACCTTCAAGGATTAAAAAGCAAGGGGACACAGGTGGTCCCTGCATCCTTGCCACCCTCAGGCTGTCCTCAGGCTGGGTGTTTGGAAGGGGAGCACAGCATCCCTGGGATCTCAAATCCCTCAGGGCCATGCAGCAAAGTGGGAAACCCTCCAGCCCTGGTGCAAGTCACTGTTGACCCAAAACATGCTGTGGCCCCAAACCTCCCTCCTTGAGCATGAAGGGAGAGCCCTTGGCACAGCCTCGTCCGCTGGGACATGTCCCCTCCCGGCACACGCAGCGGGCGACACGCAGCCGCCGTCCCGGTCCCCAGGCACAGGTGTGTTCCAGTAAGAGGCAGCAGCGGGGTGGCCAGAGCATGAGCTCAGAGGAACGCACTGCAGCCTTCACGCCAAAGCAAACCCCGCCGCGGCAGCCCTGCCTTCCCAGCACTGCCCGAGCCCTCAACAGCCACCCCTGCGTTGAGCCCCAGCTCCCCGTGCCCGGACCCCCACCCTGCACCGCAGACAGAGCCCTGCGATACGATGCTCTGGGATGCTCCAGGCAGCTGACCCCAGCCAAGGCTGAGTTCAGTACTGGGGTGCCCCCAGCCCCTCTCCCTGACTGGCACTCCAGGACAGAGAGAAGCAGAGGTCAGGTAACAGACGGATTTGGGCAAGTTTGTATTTCAACAAAATAGTTGCAGTGAGTCCTATATTTACACCTGGGGAAGGGGGGGATGTGGTATTTACATGACCCACTGGGGTTATATACAGGAGAAGAGGAGACTGGGGAGGGGGGGAGCTGCGGCATTGAAGCCTGACCTGGCCAAGGAGTCAGTCTTGGCAGGAATCCCCATTTCCCCCCACCCCAGGGAAGGGGTGACATGGGCACAACTTCTGCTAGGGGCCAGGTACTGAAAAGAGACGGCAAAGTGCCCTACGGGGCAGCCAGGCCCCGGACCAGCTCAGAGCCAGCTGAGCCACAGGGGAAAGGGCAGGGGTAGAAGGAACCCAAAGGGTGGGTGGGATATGAGGGTTGGATCTGGGCCAGTTCCCCCCCTCCAGCAGGGGCTGTGGGGGAAGGTGGGCTTTGCTGGTGCTGAGGGAGGGGGGCAGACAGTGACATGGCTGCTGCCCCACCTTGCCCAGGCCCTGCTGAAGCAGGGGGGCTGCAGAGGTGGTGGTGGATGCAGTGAGGGGGGAGTGCCGGTGCATCCTGGGGGTCAAGGCACCGGGAGGCATTGGCAGCTCCACTGAGGCTGGGAGCTCCGCCACTGCCACTGGGCTCAGACGACTTTGGGGTCTTTCCTCTCGCCCAGCAGCCAGTATGTCCGCATCTTACCCTTGCCCTGGGAGGGAGAGGAGGGCAGTGAGAACCTCCCTGCTTCTGGCTCCTTGGGTCATCCCCAGCACTGAGGGGAACAAGGGGTCCCAGCCCAAACCCACACCCTCATCACATGCCCCATGCAGCAGGAAGGGCTGGCACCCCACTAGCATCTCTGTGCCCTTACCTTCATCTCCACATCCCCACGCAGCTCCAGATCAAAGCAGCCAAACTCATCCAGAACTTCCTTGGTGGTGGATGAGACGTGGATCTTTAGGGCTGGGTAGCACAGAGGGGAAAAAGAGACTTGGCTGGGTGAGGGAGCTGGACACAACCCGAGGAGGTGCTGGACCCCAGCTGCCAGCCCCATGGCTCACCCTGGCCATTGGATTCCATGCGGGATGCAGTGTTCACTGTGTCCCCAAAGAGGCAGTACCGCGGCATCTTCAGACCCACCACTCCAGCGCACACAGGACCTGCCGGCACAGGGACACTTAGGGACACTGCGGGTGGGCCAGCACCCCCCTGCTGCGGTGCCAGTGGGAGCAGGGACTCACCGGTGTGGATGCCAATGCGCAGGTGGAGCTGGTCGTTAGGACGGTGACGGATCTTGAAGGTTTTGACAGCCTCGAGCAGGGCCAGGGCCATGCGGACGATCTCACGGGCGTGCAGCTTCCCATTGCGCACCGGCAGCCCCGAGACCACCATGTAGGCATCCCCAATGGTCTCCACCTGCAGGGTCAGGGGGGAGCAGGTAGAACCTGGGCTCCTTGCTGCCTGCCTCACTCTGGGGGACTGTGCTGGCTGACCCACACCCTCACCTTGTAGACATCAAAGTTATCAATGATGGCATCGAAGCAAGTGTAGAGATCATTCAGCAGCATCACAACCTGAATGGAGCAAGGGTGTGTGTGAGGCTGGGAGCAGGCATGGCCCCCCAACCCGTGAGGGCACTGCTAGGGTGTGAGACCCCCACCAGCCCCACAGAGGGGCTTCTCCCAAAGCCCTGCTTTCACCTGCATGGGAGTACTCTCTGCTGAGAGGGCAGTGAAGCCCACAATGTCACTGAAGTAGATGGTGACGCTGTCGAAAGCCTCAGCCCGCACTGTCTCTCCACGCTTCAGCTGCTCTGCCACGGAGCTGGTGGGACAAGAGGGGATGGTGGTGAGCTCTCACTTCCAAACCCCATTCCCCCGGCATCCCTTGCCCTACACCAGCATGGAGCTGGCAAGGGACCCCATGCTTGCATTGGGGGGTTTGGACCCCATTGCACACTGACCCCATGCCAAACCCCAGACCCACACGCTCCCTTCTCTCCCCCTCTCACTGGGGCAGAATCTGGTAGAGCAGGTTCTCTGCCTTGCGCTTCTCCTCCAGGTAGGCCTGTGTCCGCTCTTCCACCAGCTTCTCCAGGTTGTTGGCATACTGCTCCATGCGTGACAGAAGGTTGTCCAGGATGCTGGTGCTTCCCTCCCTGTGGGGGTGCAGGCAGCTGGCACTGCCAGAAGAGGTGCCCCCCCAACCACTCCCACCCCCATGGCTGTCCCTGCTCCCGCCCTGGGCCACCTTCTCCACTCGCCAACCACCCACTTGTTGAATCTACGGATGAAGATCTTGATTTGGCTGAAGTCGGGACGCTCGGCCGGCTCCTGCGCCCAGCAGCGCTCCATCAGCACGGCCAGCTCCTCACTGTGCACCCCGATGTCGATGGAGGGGCGGAAGAACGGCTTCTGGCTGTTACGCACCTTCTGCACGATCTCTGCCAGGACGTGGATGGTAGTGAGCACCGGACCCTCCAAAGAGGGGACAGAACTGCCCTACACCCACCCCCTGCCCTCACCTTTGGGGCTCAGGTCCATGCCCTCAATGTAGAAGGGGCCGTTCCGCAGAGCAACCTCCTGCACGATGATGCCGAAGCTGTAGACATCAGCCTTCTGCATGCCTGGGGTGGGCAGGTGCCCCTTCTGCAGCAGCTCTGGGGCTGTCCACAGCTTCTCTGGTGGGACAAAGCCATGGAGCAGTGAGGCAGGGCCACCCCATCCCTGTGGTCCCCCCAGAGCAGGCACTCACTGGCATAGAGCGCGTGGGTGTCCTCACTGTCGCTGGGTGAGCGGAAGCTGGCCAGTCCATAGTCAGTGATCTTCAGCACGAAGCGACTGTCCACCACACAGTTGGATGACTTGAGGCTGCCGTGGTGGCCGATGATGCTGTTGTGCAGGAAGGCCATTCCCTGGGGCAGATGGACACAGTGAAGCTGGTATTCCTCATGCACCTCCCCCAGCCCTTCATGCCCCTCCCTTGGGTACCTTGACAATGTCATTGATGAGGGAGTAGCGAAACATCCAGTCCAGGTTGATGCTCTCATTCTCCAGGACATCCTGAGGTAGCACAATGAGTGGACCCCATCAAGCACCCCGGGCATGGTGGCAGCAGCCTCACCAAGCACCCAGCTGCAGGGGGAGTCTGCAGCATCCACCCCCTTCCCTCCACTGGCCTCTGACACCTGCTTGGGCAGCTCAGCTGCGAACCTTGTGGGGCTAAGGGCCACCAGTATCCACAGCCCTGTCCTCAATGCCCAGCCCAGCCAGGTCGTGAGGAGTGTCTGAGTGTCACCCCTGGTGTCCCTAAGCCCCTCTACCTGCAGGCTGCCCCGTGGGCAGTACTCGGTGATGATGCAGATGTTGGGGGGGTCGATGCACGCCCCAATGAAGCGAGTCAGGTGGTTGAACTGGATGTCGCGCATCTGCAGGTGGAAGTGGAGCCAAGTGGGTCTTGAGGTTAGAGGGGATGGGCTGCTGCTCCCAGCAGCTTCCCCCAGTCCCAGGAATAGTCCCTGCACCCCCGAGCAGGTTGCCCACCCCAGCTGAGGCCCCAAACCTACATGTTTTAGCTCGAAGAGCACCTGCCGCGTCAACTCAATGCGCTTCTTATTGATGTGTTTAATGGCCACCACGTTGCCCTGGGGTGTTTGGGAAGGGAGAGAGGTCAGTGCTTGCTGAGGGGATTTGAGGAGGCAAGGAAGGTGCCAGCATCCTGCAGGGCGGGGGTGCAGCCAAGGGCGAGTACACCAACAGAGCTGGGGCATTTCGGGGGGAGGGCTCCCCACCGGCTGCACTCACCTTGAAGTGGCCGGTGTTGGCGAAGATCTGGTACTTGCCGTGGGTGGTCATCAGGGAGCCGTAGCTGGAGCCACGCTGTGGGAAGGAGGGGATTAGGGAGAGGAACCCTGGGGTGGCAGGGTGGCAGACACCAATGGAGCAAGGCAGGAATACCCAAGGGTGTGCAGCAGATGGTGCAGGATGGGCTCTAGAAGGTCAGGGCAAGCTCTGCATGCTCTGTAGGGAGGGTGAAGACTCCAGGAGGAGGTATGGTACACTGAAGTGGGTGTAGGGAATGGATAAGGTGTGTCTGTGTAGGGCATGGAGGGCACCATAGGGGCTTGATGAGGTATGGTGCTCTGTAGGGGATTCAGGGCTGTGTAGGGGATGGAGCTACACTGGCTCTGTAAGGGATGGAGGGTCATGCCAGGGATGGATGGAGTGCATCTCTAGTAGGGGACGAAGGGCTATGTAAGGATGAAGGGCGGTTCAGAGGACAAGTGAAGTGGGGCTCTGGCTCTGTAGGGAACAGAGGGCCATGTAGGGAATCAACATGTAGGGGTGTCATGCAGGGAGGGATGACAGCACAGGGCAGCACTTCTCACCAGGGACAAGGTAAGCCGGCTGCCTGCTGCCTTGTGGTACCGCTCGGGACTTCCAAACTGCAGCTCATCCCAGCGGATCCTCCAGAGCATGCTGGCAAGCTCCTTCTCCAGCATCAGCTTCCTGGGGGACACATGGGTGTCAGATCCCCCTGCCCTGCCTGCCCCCCTCCAGCAGACTGAGAGGTGCCTGGTGCCCAGGCAGAGGCTCCCCCAGCCCCAGCTGACCTGAAGATGAGGAAGCTGGAGACGCCAAACATGACGAAGGTGAGGCCAGTGCCCAAAGCCACGATGGCCAGCATCGAGAGGGGGGCTGCAAACAGGAGGGGATGTCAGGGTGGCCCAGCTGGGCATGGAAGGGCGCTGGGGCCCAAGGGACGTGGGGACCCAGGACACCCACTTTTATCGCAGGAGGGGTCATCCACATCAAACACACAGGGAGGGTTGTCCAAGGGGGGAGCCCCCTTCACCCAGGGGATAGGTCGTCCCAGCCAATGAATTTGCTTCTCCACACCTGAGTAGTGTCCCACCACCTAAGGCAGAGAGAGATGAGGCCACCCCAGACCCCAGCATTCCATCCCTGCCCCAGCCAGGGGGAAACTGTTGCTGGCCCCCACCTCGTACTTCCCGGTCTTGGGGTCGCTCA